CCTCCCCCCCTCCCCTCACATTCTCCTTCGCCCCCCCCCCCTCCTGTTCCCTCTTAACGGTGTTTCTATTTCCTACTTCTTCTCACGCTAGATCCATATCTGAAATTCTCTTGTTTGCCATATCTCTCTCTCTTTCTCTCGTTCTATCTGTATCTTTCTCTCTCTTCCACCCTTCCTTTGTCCTTTTTCTCCCATCCTCCGCCTCAATCCTTGCATTTTACCAAACCACCTTTCCCACCTTCCCTCCTTCCTCTTACCCTATCCCTCTGCCATTCCTTACCCTCCCTCCATCTCGTTCCCCTCCCTCCCTTCTGCCTATTCCCTACCTATCCCCTTTCCCCTCTCCCTCTCCTTCCCTCGCCTCCTATTCCTCCACTTATACCCCTCTCCCCTCCCCCTCTCTCCACCCCACTGCCTATTCCCCTACCTATCCCTCTTTCCCTCTCCTATCCTCCCTCCCTCTACATGCCCTCTCCCCCACTCCACTGCCTATTCTCCCACCTATAACCCTCTCCCCTCCCTCCTCTCCCCCACCCCCGCTGCTTATTCCCCACCTATCCCCTACCTCCCTCCCTCTCCATTCCCTCTCCACCCACCCCATTGCCTACTCCCCCACCTACCCCCCTCCCCCCCTCTCTCTCGTCTAGCGAAGGTCGATTCGTACGATTATTCACTGTACAATGTCCCTCCATCAGCGGTGACGAAATGCAATAATCCATTCCCACATTAGACACACATAAACGAACCTGCTAAGTGGTTTGCTCAGCTGAAAGGACACAGAAAACACGTATATGTAGATGTGGGTTATGCACTATGTGGTAGTGTGTGGCTTTGTGTAGATATTTTATTTTTCTTTGTGTGTGTATGTGTGTGTGTGTAGGTATATTCGGGTGTGTGGGTATGTTGTGTGCATGGGGTGGGTTTGAGAATTGTACTTTGTGTTGGGTGTGTGTGTTTGTTAGTGTATGTTTGCTTGCATGTATATGTTTGTGCATGTAGTTGTTCGTGTGTGTTTGAATATATATGTAAATATATGGGTGTTTGTATGTGTATTTTTGCATAGCTGGACATCCAGGTTTTCATTAAAATATAGATATTGTAGATTCTTAGGATAACACCCACTAGCATTTGAAAGGCGCACCTATAGACAGGAAAATGTCGATAACACACACTGCCTAGCACCGGGAGGAACACTTAACACCAAACAACCTACAAGTCACCTCATTTCGTCATGTCGTTCCGTCATGTCTCTCGTCTCGTTTGGTAATTTCCAACAAAGCAAGAGAGAGAGAGAGAGAGAGAGAGAGAGAGAGAGAGAGAGAGGAGAGAGAGAGAGAGAGAGAGAGAGAGAGAGAGAGAGAGAGAGAGAGAGAGAAAGCTAAGTATGATGAGAAAAAAAAATTGTAAAGGGGTAAATGGGAAACGGTAACAGAATGTGTAACTTCTTTTCCATCCTCCCTTCTCGTCCTCCTTCTCCTCTTTCCCTTTTCTTAACTCCATCTTTCGTCTTTCTCACTCCTCCCTACCCCTCATCATCACTTCCTTCCGACTATCCTCTCCTCTCCCCTCTCCCCCTTCCTTCCCTCTATCCATCTCTCTTCCCCCTTCCTTCCTCTCCCCTCCCTCTTCCTCGACCCGCTCCCTCTCCCTTTCCCTCCCTCCCCCCCTCACTTCCTTCCATCTTCCTCACGCTCACCCTCCCCCTCCCCACCCCGTCACCCCACCCCAGCATCCCATCTACTAAGGCGGGGCAGTGAGACATTCTACTGCAGCGGACGCAGAGGGAGGCGGCGCGGAGGTTGTGGGTCACGTGTGTTAGAGGCCCCTGGAGACTCCGGCAGCGCTAACCCGACCCCTCAGGGATACTCTCGCCTCGCCCGGAGTGCTGGCTGGCCCATCTCGCCACACCATCACCACCACAACTGACACCATCACCATCACCACACCTAAAACACTACCCGAGACGCAGGTCGCTAATGTTGATTTTTTTTTCGTCTCTCGCTTTCTCTGTCTGGCTCTGTCTGTCTGTTTCTTTTACTCTGTCTCTGACTCTGTCTGTCTGTCTGTCTGTCTGTCTCTGTCTGTCTGTCTGTCTGTCTCTGTCTCTCTCTGTCTCTGTCTCTTCTCTGTCTCTGTCTCTGTCTCTCTCTCTCTCTCTCTCTCTCTCTCTCTCTCTCTCTCTCTCTCTCTCTCTCTCTCTCTCTCTCTCTCTCTCTCTCTCTCTCTCTCTCTCTCTGCTTTACCGTGTTTTTCTTTTTCTTCGTCTTCTTTTTCGATGACATTTAAAGATTACTTTCAGATGAGAATACAAAATACAGAATACAAAACTTGAAGTAAAAATATAACCAAAGAACATCTATGTGTATGTATGCATGTATCGTTATATGTATCTATATCTATATCATCATTTACATCTACATCTAATACCCATATCTATTCACTGATGTTTTCGACTATCTACGTCTGTCTATTTATCTATACTTACATTATTTGTCTAATTATGAATCTCTCTATCTACCCATCTTTCGTTCTATCTACTTATCTATCCCTCGCTCGTGCTATCTGTCTATCTATCAGTCCATTTTTCTTGTTATCTGTCTATCTTTCCATCTTTCTTGCTATCTCGCAACCTATTCATCTCTCTATCAATCTATCATCTATCCATCTATATATATCTGTCTGCCTATCTATCTAAAAATCCACCATCTATATATCAATATACCATCTATCTATCTATCTGCCCATCTATCTATCTATCTGCCTATCTATCTATCTATGTACCATTGCCCAACGAAACGTACAAGAAGCAATGTCATGTTTCCTCGAACTGCAACAACTTTTACCTTCTGCGTCTTCCTCGGGTTCGTCACCTCTCTGAATTTTCTCCGAATTGTTCTTCTTACTCACCCATTTTCACCTGACTCATTCATTCATTCGTCCCTTTCGCTCTGTGTCCTCGGAAGGCCATTTCTTTGAACGAGTGAATAATTACCAGTTGCAGCGAAATGGCGATTCGTTGAATTCTGTTACCTTCGGATTCTGGGCGCTCTTGGGCCTCCCTCCCGCGTGAAAGGTCAGGAGTTGACCCAGCTGTGATCTAAGGTCACGTTACTATTTCAGGTATCACGGCTTGAGGCTTCTTGTCCTTCTGCCTTGTACCATCCTCTCCCTTCCTTCTTTTTTCTCTTACTTTTCCTTCTTTCTCTTACCTCCCTCCCTTCTACACTTCCCCCTCCCTTCCCCTACTTTCCCACCATCCTCTCCCTTTCCCTCCCTTCCTTACCTAAGCCTTTTTATCTGCTTTGATTTAGTCCTTCAGCCAAATGCGAATCTTAATTTCTCTTATACATCACACGAGGCTTCGCTTAGGTGATTCGTAGCGTCTCGTTCACTAATCTACGTCGCCATAATCTTCAATATCATCGCGATTATCGATCACTATCTATTTTGATTAAGCCGTCGAATCAAATGAGAGTCCAAATGTTCGTCCAAATCAAATGAGAATCTTATATATCAGATTCCATACGATGTCTCGCTTCGGTGCTTCGGACCGTCTCGTTCGCCAGCTCTCGGCGTCATTAGCGTCTCTACCGTCGCGTCTATCGATCAGTATCTGGCCGCTGTGCATTATCGGCAGTCGAGATTCGGATGGGATGTCGTTTTCTTCGTTAATGAAAGTTCTGCGTTGCTATTAAGCTCGGTCAATTGATGTGCAACGACGGCCATTTATCAAAGCCGGGCTATTCTAACACCACTCCAAGGCCGTCCGAATCTTGATACGAATTCGTTTTATCGCTTTGCGTGCATGATCCTCTTGCATCGCCGTCAGCTCGCTAATATCCCCCTCCCCCCACCAAAATAAAAGAAAATACAGGCATAATGACAAACAAACACATACAAACACACAATATTGCATAAAAAACACAAACACACACACGTGCACAAAAAAAAAAAAAAAAAACACACACAGGCACATCCCCTCAATTCCCTTCCTACCTCCATCTCCCCCCACCTCCCTACCCTCTCTATCTCTAGCCTACCCCCTACCTACCCCTCCTACCTCCCCACCCTACCCCCTCCTACGTCCCAACCCCTCCTACGTCCTCCCAACCCTCCTACCCCCACCTACGTCCCCCTACCCCACCCACCCCTCACCCCCCTCCCCCCTCACCGCCACGCAGCAAGACCGCCATATAGACCTTCTTTAAGCATGTTGTCTTGCTGGGCTTTCCACGAAATTGGTGTTCGGAGCATCTTTGAGCAGTGTTGCCAAAAGCGGCGTGTTGCCTCTTCTCCCCCCTGGAAGAACGTGGCTGGAAAGAGGAACAGGCGGAGGGCGAGGAAGGACGGAGAGAAAGAGGGAAGAGAAGGTGGGCGAGAGAGAGAGAGAGAGAGTGAGATAGAATGCGGAAGGGGGAAAGTCGATGGGGAAAAGGAGGAGGAGGAGGAGGGGGAGGGAGAAGAGAGGAATATTTTGATGTGTGTGGGTTCTGTTTACTTCAGCCCTATCTCTCTCTCTCTCTCTCTCATTCTC